AGAGAGAGAGAGAGAGAGAGAGAGAGAGAGAGAGAAGTTCATAAAGGTAGGGAACTTGCCTCTCCAATTACAACAACAAAGAAACCTCTAGGAATCTCAAAAGAGGTGAGTTTCAAGTTTTTCCCCTGCTCCTCCATTTTGCTGCTAGACCAAACACAGTTTGCATCTTGGAATACAATTGCTACATCTTCAAAGTTATCATCAGCAGAGTCTGTTGGGATGCAAATTGATGAGCATGCTGTCAACTGCTCTGTGGATGGTTCTATCTTTTCAGAATTAATATCAGGACAGGAGAGAAATTTGCTCAACCGCCTCGTAGATATCATGGCCTGAAATGTATCATATAAACACAGCAACTAAAAGAAGTCCCCTAAAATGATATATTCTATCATGAAAGAAATTTTGGACAACTTACATCAATCAACCCATTGATCACCCAAGGAAATGAATTTAATGGAGATATCAAAGTATTAAATAAAGCAACACATGTGAACACCTGAAAAGTAAAACGTAAAGCATTTCAATATATGAAGCTGGTGATGCATTTTACACAAGTAGCATAACTAGATAAATGTATAAGATGCACTGCTATTTACTTCAATTTGAATGTTTTACCGTTGCTGCAGTGAGTTGATTCCCCAGTAACGCGAAGAGGCCAAATGTAAACAAAGAAAACAGGGTTGGTGTTGTGGCCCAAAAAAATACACACCATGCATCCAAGTATTTCCGAGTCTGATTAAGGAAGACAGAATACAGGCAGGTATAAACAAAATAGATCTATCAATAAATAAAAAGTAAATAAAAAATAAAAAACACAATGGACGACATAAAAAATACTTCAAGGACGAATCTTACATGCACACATACACCCAAACATTTTGCCTATTAAAATACAGCTTGAATATGAATTTAGGACTTTTGATAATGATTGCACCATAACATACCGATAGGTGTTTCACTTCCATTTCTCTAGTTTCCATCAGCCTGTTAGAGAAAAGAAGCTCCCAGCTGTACATCTTAAGAGTTCTGATATGCATTAACAGTTCTCCTGACTTTCTGATTCTGTCCATAAGCAAGCTCTTCATTATAGAGTGGCAGAGGCATTGTATGTTAATCTCAGTTTCCAAATGAAAATAAAAGCATTGACCTGTGCATTGAGCAGGCTATATCAACTGAAAAACTACCACAACATTAATGTTCATAAAAATAAACAACCCATTTTGGTCAGATCATGTGAAAATTGATTGTCCATACAAGCATAAACACGAGCAGATTAAAAAATGACGTAACATAATGTGTATATTCTGAATATTTTCCATCAATATTGCTGAATAAAAACTCATGAAATAAATAATTAGCATTCCACAATGCGTTTTTGTTGCAGAATATTTATGACTACAAGAATTCCCGGTTGTTAGCATTCCTAGAAGTGCAGCTGTTATTGATGAACTCTATTCACAGTGAAGCTTTGATTGACAGAAGCATCTGACGCAACCTATGAAGAAATGGATAGGGAAATTTTCAACTAGGAACCTCCTAGGAAGTGGCTAAGAATCAACAGTTTCCAACCAAGGAGATCATTTCAGTAGGAGGTTTTGAGAAGTCACCAATCATCAACATCATTCAAAATATGTCTATAAATCAGCCGTGCATCCTATTTTCCTATTCGCAGTTTATTGGTTTTGCGGATTCAAATATGGCCGAGGCCTTATCTCTCCTCGAAGGCCTCAGATGTTTCAACTCCCCTTCCTTGATCATTGAGGGGTACTAACAAAATGTTCAGTCATGGGCCTTTAAAGCCTCACCTTGCCCTTGGATACAGGATAACATCTTTGCTGAAATCTTTCAAATTTGCAGGGATATTCACATCCCATGGAGGCATACTTGGAGGGAAGCCAAAGCCTCAGCCGACACTCTCACTAGGGAGGGACCCTCTCAGATGGAAGACTCTTAGGGGGACCTTTTGAGCAACTTTTTGAACCCCCAACATTTTGTACACTTATGGTTCTTGCTTTAGATGTATAGTTTTCTGAAATCCCCTACGGATTAACACAATTTTTTGGACCTCTCGGATTTTTGGACAAGGCACCCACATGCTGGGTGCCCAATCTACAACCTCTCTCTTGTATCTCTTACTTTTACTTACCAATACACTTAACACCTTCAAAAAATCAGCTGTGCATCCTTCTTGAGGAATAACATCATCAAGTGGAAATCATGATACAAGAAGCAAACTAGGAATCGCCCATTCCACTTGATTATACAAATATTTCATTGCACCAATAAGACATCCTTTGCTTGCTGGTGTTGAATATTGAATATAAATGAATCGCACTCTCCTATATCTTGGCTTTTCTAATAATCAAAATGACATCATAATTTTCCATATCCATGATATTTCTCCAAAAATATTATGCATGAAACATGGAGATTTTACAAGCAAGATCTGAAGCTTTTTGGATAAAAAATGACAATTGAAAGTGGCTCTTGTAGACATGGAACACATGTACAATCATATCCCAAGAGGAGATAAAATTTTCATTCTAGAAAGTCGCAAAGCACAATGAAACCGAATTTTTTTTAGAAGGAAAGAGAAACTTAACAGCAAAGTCGACTACTGCATCGTCATTGCTATGGATCTCTTTAAATTCCAGATTGTTCTATCTAAAAGAAAAGGGTAGTAGCACTGTAGTCCTTAAAGATTTTATGCATAATGCAACATGGAAGTAAAATTTTAAAGTTAAAAGAAACAAGTAGACCTTTCATCCTTGTGTTTCATCATGAGCTCTGTTGCCGCAGCAATCAATCCAGAAATCCACCTATTCACTGCAGAAAGAAATTTCAGTTACAGGTCAATGGAAATTTGAGGAAAACAACTTCACAAATGTAAATTGGTCATCCCAAGTGGAGAATGGGAAATTAACGCTTTCATGCTAGGATATATTTGATGGAGGTATGCCATAGAACCCCAATACACTTTTACAAAAAATATGAAGCCACATGCATTCACACACACACACACACACAAACATACTTGCTCAGCCCAGGTGACTTCATATCTCTACCTGGAATTAGCAAAATGGTTATAGCAATCCCTGAGGCAAAAGCAAACTTGACTTGCGTGTACAAGAGATATAATGCCACTCCAATTTGCATAGGTAGACTACAGAATATAAAAGAATGTCATCAGACAAAAGCATGTTAGAAAACACTCATGAGATCTAACCATAAGCAAAGGTTTTCAAGAAAATGTTAGACATGATGATAACCCGTTTCTGAACAAATGTGTTTTTGGGACTTAAAAAGCATGATAATGCAAACTCAAGGATATTTAGGTTATACAAAAAGCTATTACTAACCATGAGAATATTTATTATGAACATAGCATACCAAGGGTCACGTTAGTTTCATTCATCACAAGGAAAGAAATGCACCAACTCCTTTTCTGCATCACACTACAAGGAAATATAAATAAATTAAACTATTAATCTAACTAGTTCTCATTTTATATGGCCCACATCCAAATTGCATAAGTATGGCAGTAAAGGTGGTGGTTGTACTACTTCCATGTCATGTGTCATGCAAATCAACTATTTCTCCTGTAGGAGAAAGCTTAATAACTTCCCCCTATTTTCTTCTATTTTTTACGAAATCTTGTGCAGACCGAAGGCAGAGATGGAGACTTAGGAGCCTTGGGAGAACAATTACATTTGAATGAAGGAAAAATTAAATTCTGCTTAATCTACTCCCTGTACCCAAACTTCACAATATGTCAAGTGCACATGAACGTGAAAGTCATGAGAGAGCCACTGGTAGAATTTCAAATACTTGAGAAATTTCGTCACCAAAAGTCAAAAACAAATAAAGGCACAAACCCCATTAGGTATCAAACCTTGATCAGCAACAGTGGAAATGTTTGATTCGAATGTAAAAACTTGTCCTTGAATTGATGACTTGCAAAGAAAAGTATCTGCTAATGACCTACATAATCCTGATTCTGAAAGATTTCTAGTTGTGCTCCGCATGAACACTAGTAAGTCGAGCTTAAAACCGAGAACATGAAGACCTCGAGAGAGAGTTCCCAAAAGTAAAAAGGACATCTTCAGCCTATAGAACTAAACATATTTAAGCTATAAGCAGTTTATTTTGGTGGGAGAACGCCCAGCAGACTTAATGAAATTGACAACCAAATAAATGAAGGAATTTGAATGATCATAGAAACCCCTATTGTGCAAATTCACCGTTGATTTCACATATTAAGAATACATCCTAGTCGAAAGTTGCTCATATTTCAATCCTCATGAAATAACTCTCATCTCAGAATATTCCCTAAGCACAAACATCAGATTATTTTTTTTCATAAAATCATAATCACTGACTCTATTGAGTGATTGCTTACCTCCACATGTCATGGAAACTGTTGCATAAATTTACCGTTCGATCTGTGTCAATAGACATAAAAGTCTGAATTTCCCCCACCGAGAAAATGGATCGCTCTGCTAGGCTGGTAAGAAGGCACTACCACGAACATGAACATAGAGAATATGGTTAGAATTCCACATAGAACAAGATACAGTCAAAGTTCAAAATTCCATACATATAAGAAGAATTTCCTAGTTTTCATATAACAAACCAAATATATGCCTTCCAGGGAACATAGAATCCTGACAGATAAGATTGTAAATTATCTAATCCATAATGTTGAAATGTTATCTAGAAATGACATTACTCTGGTCATTTCATTGTAAAATTGTCAGTATACACTTTCATTAATTTGGTAAATGAAATCTAGAAAAAAAAACTAGGAATCAAAGCCACATGATGCCAAAGAATCTCATGGTTCTGGGGAAAGGTACAAATAGGTACAGCAATCCCAGTTTTACTAATAGGGCCAGATAAAACAACCATTGAACTCAATGGGTGAATAAATGCAACATCAGATTTCTGAAATTCATAATATAAACAAGGCTCCTCTGGACGCTGATATTCCAATGTCACAACAGAGAGTGTACCATTTGCACTGCTATAGGAAAATATTGATCATCGATCATCCTCCAGAATTTCATGTACATGAAGGACTTATGACTAAAAGAGTAGCCAACTTAGCAGAATCAGATTAATAGCAGATTCGCTAGGGAATTAGTTGAATGATATGATCTAGCACAATACAAGAAATGATATCCATTAATTCTTTTGACAGTGCATCCTTAGCTAGATTTTTAAGGTAATTAACCTCAGGAAACACCACCACTGATTTTTAAGGTACCATAGTTCTAGCTTTCTTGGCATCCACTTTTTATACACTCTAATCAGAAATACATCCATAAAACATGAACTATCAAAATTATTCTTGCGGGATTTGCTAGAAAACTGGCTAAGTAATTATAAGTCAAGTTGAAAACAATTGTAAAAATTTTCAAGATTCAATATTGTGCTTATGGAACTTTTGACATGAAAAGTTGCATCTTCAAAAAGTGTCAAAGACTATGGCTCTTGTGAAACGGATTAAGATGAAAATGCAGGTAGAAAAATGAGAATCCCCACTCATGTGACTCATCATTTTTCTAGTGGCCATGATCATACACAAAGGTTTCGCCTTCTCACAGTCTGCGCAAGCCTATAATCAATTTGTACTCCACCCACATGGGGCTTTGCCTATAACAAAAATATGTTGTTATCCTTTACCAACAATCTGATGTTATAACATTGATCCATAGTTATCAGGATTGGGATCGAATCAGATCCGGGATTGGAATCAGGACTGTGGAATTGTGAAAAGCAAGAAGCTCCCTATGGTAGCAATCATTTTTGTACACTTTGAAAATCTATGGATCTCCATCCCAAAGCTCAATCCAAACTTAATGGAGATCAAATTATAAGTTATACATGATCAAGTTCCATCTGATTAACGATCGAGGTCCTTGAGAGCACTCGTATACTTGTGATGAAGGGCAAAATTATTCTTATTTTTAATTTTTACTCAATTTCAAAGGATGTATATTATAGTTTTTGCTTTAGGGTTTATTTCTTGGGTTTTTTTGTTTTTTAGGGATTCTAGGGTTTTTATATTTTTTATTTACTTCATGAATACTATTCACAAGTAATGTAGGGAGGTTGATGCTAAAGATTCATCTTATTTCACTGATAAAAAGATTGATGATGAACACATATCCTATCGAGTGGTTGTGTATTTAGCAATGATTTAGAAAATGTCGGGTCGGCATGGAATCGTCCAATCTGACTCGGGAATCAGTCCACCCATTCCAGTTCTACATATATAGCGTAAAACTGCTGAGTCTAGAAGGGAACCGGCGGTTCCGCATGGTAAAATGGAAATTCTCTACAGTAAAACAGCTATCCAGACCACTGATTCACTGATCCATACCAGCTTTTGGGGTGCTTGATCCGGGTCACCAATCCGTTTTTTAAATCACTGATCTCTAGAGATCGAAAAGTTTAGATATTGTTATGAGGATCGTGACGAGGCCTTCAAGGTGGAAAAAAATCATAGGTTTAAGGAAGGATTCATCCTAGCTCATTTCAAAACTCGAGAGTTTACTGTTTTGGTTTTTTAGCCAATATTTGGTTATCTTTTTAGAAAGTTAGGAGAGGAAGGAAGATGAATAGGAGGCTTATCTTTAAGCCGTGGATAGGAAATTGAGATATCTTTTAGAAAGGCAGATTATCCTTTAGGAAAATCAAAGGAGGTTTAATATCGAAAGAGAACCTTTAAAAGCAAGAGGAGCTTCTCTTTATTATCTCTTGCCGGTTGTTGGTTGTCGGCGATTTTCAGCTGCATCAAGTTGTATATACCACGCTTTTATGCAATAATATTTTTTTTCCACTACGTACTTTACAATAGTATGAAGCTATACTGTATACTCCTACTATATTATATAATATACTACTATATTTTAAATTATTATTTGCAACTATATATTAACTATACTATGCCACATTGGCTAACGATACTACATTGCCATTCTTTGCTACTCAACTATGCCAAACCACTACACTATACTACAATACTAGGGAATCTGGATCCCATGTAACTCATAATTGTGATTCCTAATAAGAAGGATGGAGATTTCAAAGTTTAAAATTTGTGGAGGTAAATTCCCTTCCCTAGAGCACAAAAGCGAGATTCCAGAGCACAGTTGATCACTTGGTTAGAAGATCCTGGCAACTATGCATTGATCAATGACAAGAGTCCCTAATCATAATTAATTTGCATTTGAAGGTTGATGGAATTAAGTATCCAAAATGTTGAGTAGATAATACCATGCCAGATGACCAATCCAGTTTCATTTTTGTGACAATAGTAAAAGAACCCACCTTCAATCATCTCGTAAGAGTGAAAAGAAAAAAAGAAGATGTACCTGAAGGGAAAGACTTACAAAGCCAACACTATCTAATACATCTTACTCGTGAGAAGTACACTCAGGCACTGATTGCAGCGGTCATAGCTGATGTCACAGTGCAAAGAGCATTAAGGTTGAGGAAGAAATCTTAGAAGTTGTACATTAAAATAGAACAGAGATTCTGCGGTCTCATGTTATTATCATCTTTTATGGCAATTTTGTAAGGGATGTACTTCATTCTTGCACTTGCTACACATAATTTGACTAGGAGATAATCCATTTTATAGTATTAATTGTGCTAAGTGTCGCATATTGCAAGCTTTGTAGAGCAGAACCCTCTGCCAAGTGACAGTAAAAATATATGCTACATGTTGCTGGAAGCACAGATGTAGGACATGTCAAAAGAGGTTCAGAAGCCAAACATCATAGATGAACAAAGGTGCATATAGAGGAATAATTTCATTTTAAACAATCATTTTATGTAAGGGCAGTCCAAACAGAGAAAAAATACTTTAGCGCCTGTTTGGACAGACCATTTTCTTAACAACAAGTCCATTTACTAAACCATTTACAAGTGCAGAAAGAAAAGCCACCAAAAAAAAAAAAAATCTTGTTTAATGGGATTTTGAACAATCCAAAGGCCTATTGTTCACCTGGAGAGATGATCAGCTACTTAACAAACACTGAATGGAAATTAAGCAAGCCATTCAGGTTATGTAATGATTCTCAAATAGATTATTCCTGTTGTAGCACTGAAAGAAGTCTCAAATAGATTATTCCTGTTGTAGCACTGAAAGAAGTAAAAGATAAAAATGAAATGTTGGTGGAACAAAATTTCCTGAGAATAATTCAAATAAAACGTCTATTCAGGAGAGTGGAATATACAACTATACAATAATTTTGAACAAAATCCATAAAACCTGCAGAAGAAACCCAATTACCTTCTGATAAACAAGAGTCATTATACTGGCACGCAGTTTCAACTTCAGCTTTGAAAGATGATAGGTATATTGTGTATCAAGAAATGACCTAAGCAACAAGAATGTTGACACCAATGACCAATCATCGTTCGATAAAATATAGTAACAGTAACTAATTTTTTTTTTTCTTTTTTTGGGAGGAATAGGCAAAACGTAACAGTAGCTTAAAGTTATAATGACATATAGCAGGAACTATATTTGATCCTCATACAGAGATGCATGTTTTCAACATTCCTAAGGCCCAAAATAAAAATAGTAGGTCAATATTTCATGATACAATATAGACAATGTAATCCTGCCATATTTCAACTGGAGCTTTCAAATTTAGAAATATTTTCTCTTGGCAGTTAACTTCCCATAATGCAATTTCCTCGCTAGCACTTTTATCTAATATTGCCATTTCTCAACCACTATCATCCCTATACCAATATGTTATGCCCCAGAAGCACACTTACCCTCATTCACTATTACGTAAACAGTGTTTCCTGTTAGATATCAAAGCAAAACTGCCTTTATTTGCTAGGTTACATTTCTAAGGAATCTAAGGTCTAGTGATGCTGCTAACTCTAGTTTCATACAGCCCCACTATTTTCTCTCCACCAATGCATCAAGAAGTAGTAGTTTAATATAAATGATATCCAATTTGAATTAAGAAGTTATTACTTGAGGATGGATGTCAAACCCAAACAAAGAGAAAGGGAGTAACCATCCCATTGCTCAGAACCTGAAATTAACAATTAAATAACAAATAAATACAAGTAAAAAAGGTAAGATCATCATACCAATAGAACATATATAAGATCACAATACAATTAGTCAACACATACACCTCACATTCTAGCAGGTATAATTTTCCAAGAGCTGAAGAACAGCTGCAAACTACTAAAGCTCATAGATGCAAGTGATACCTTGTTTTCAAATTCCAACATGCATCCATAAATGAAAAAATTTGTTCAGTGAAAGATAGAAGAACCAGGGTTTATTATTTGTTTTCAACTAGTCAGACATGAAACACGTGCAGCTGGAATTTCAATCTTTCTTTGCACATCCCAATAAATAAAGAGTTAATGTCAAAATTTACACCTTTCTGAAGAAACCCTATAAGTTTATTAAGTAGCAATGGTCCGGCAAAACCAAGACAATCATTTACAACCTGCAAAAGAAAACATCTTATCATTAAATGCTGGAATTCATAACTAGAAGAGGTGTTTTTTTTGTTATAACATAAAAGACATTCCTAGTCTTGTTTCACTGCAAAGCAAAAGAGATAAATCATGAGTCTTAGACTAATACAGATCACTTAAACGACATCAAAGACATGCAACAGAATCATGAGAAAATTAGCATTCATATTCCTCACCTTCAGGAGGCCCAGCAGCAAGTATGGCCAACCATATGCATAACAAATAGCTCTGAAAAGTGATGCCTGATTGAGATGTTTTCTTTGTTCCAAAGACCAGCATTTCCGCAGCATAGTATGGCACAATAAAGGATCCAACTCATTGGGCAAATGCATCAAATCCTCAAAGTCAAGTTGCTTAATTGCACCTTGTTTCATAATTGGATTAACAAAGCTGAAGGTTATAAGTCGCCAAAATTTGATGCCGTTCACATCCTACATTAGGAATGACAAAAGAAGTCTCTATGTAAGGTAAATAGTAATTACTAAAAAAGCAGACAAATTGAAGCTGAAGCAAAGAAATAGTGGGACAAAGTTGCAAAGAAGTGTGGCTATATTTATATATTCATTGCAGTCGTCTTCTTCAATACATGTTCATTGTTCATATATAATCAACAGAAAAGAGAAAATGTTTGCATTGCTATTTACAAACTACACATCTCAGCCATAACAAACATTGAAGGGCAAGACACGAAAGCCTCCAGGAAAATGCCTTCCAACTTAACTCATCGTATTGAACTCTTCTGAGCTTATAAATTCTGGTTTTCATATCTTGCATAGCTTTTCCTAGTTCCCTTGCGTAATTGTTCGGAATCTCTATGCTCTTTATGCACCATCATAGAACATGCTAGTTCACAGTTGAGAAGCCTTCAAACTACTTTCTACCACTCCAGCGTAAAGGAAATGGACATGGAGACTGAAATGTCAACCAATAGCTTTGTGCACTGTGTTCCATACGATGGGGCTGACTTGGGATTCCCCTTCGCACCATTATCTGAAAATGAGACAAAATGACTACGAGACTATTCTTTGGCTCAATCTTACCTCTCGTCATACAGTTTTCTAAGCTACTCAGTGGTTTCATATATTCTTCAATAGGGATCACAATCTGTTCTCTGCTTGCAGATCAATGAAACATTACCAAAACCTGATAACTTTATCATATTTCTTACGGAGTCTTGTCCCATTGGGATATCCAATAATGCTAGACAACTACTAAGGTTTCAACCACATTGGCACTAATCTGACAAAGATCACACAAGTGATTTCTTCAAAAACCAACAGTCTGCCTCTAATGAGGCTTAAGAAGCCTGTAGAAAATGACTATTGTAAGCACTAATGTGCGCCTGTGCTGTATGCTTCATTAACCTCTTCAATTTGACCAAGGAAAGAGAAGTGCTTCAGTCACTTGGATGATTCAGGAGATGAATTTGATACTTTAATTTATAATTTAAAAATGCATAAAAATTACTAAAGAAATATTGAGGATGTTAGGAAAATATTGGACCAAAGGTTGAATAGCTAAATTATCCATATTCATGATCATCAAAACATAGAAAATTTAAATGCATACAACATTGATGATCATACATTATAGGTTATTTGGCCAGAAAAGGATGACTCTGCATTTCCATTAGCATATGTGAAATGAGAAATAACTGCAAAAGAAGAGCTAAAAACAAAAAACATTGCCCTTCCCTAATTTCGTATTTTATCAACATCATCCATTGGGTCTTGTTGTTCATCATTGGCACCCTCAAACTCACCACCACATTGAGATGCCAACTCATAGCCATCCTACTCTTATGCCTGCTCCCCTCCTGAAATGTTAGGTCTTCCACTTTGAGGTCTCTTCAAACCACTCAGTACCATCAACACCCTCTAGTTTCACGAGGCTATCATCAGTTCATCACTCCCTTTGCTAAAGTTCTCTATACCATTTGAACCTTGAACACCACTTTAACACATGATCATGCAGGGTCACTAGGTTTAGAGGGAGAAGACTAAAAAACAAGGAAACAAAAGAGACTTTGAAACTGAGCATCTCTTAAAAAAGACTAACAGCAAAGAAAACAAGAAAGGTAAGGTTAATGGTTTCTTACTGCACATGTTTTGTTTAAAAGTGTAGAATGAAGTATCAATGCCCATAAAATTCTTCAATTACATTCTCACTCTACCTAAGGAAGGCTAAAGCAGGCCATTTTGTCAAAAGTAAACTTCTTTAGCGTTGCTTTGGGAACAAATCAAATCATTCAGCCTCTTCAGGGAAGTGCAATGAAATTAATAAAAGAGGCTGTAAAAAAAAAAGCTCTCTCAATAACTTCCCATCGTTAACTTTTATTACTAAAGATATTCAAACATAAACATTCACTTAATATTATGCCATCTATTATTGCCATTGTAATATAGTAATGCTGTAGTGTGTGTTTAGCCTCATATCTGATGCAATTATATATACCCCTCACTTATAGAAAAGGCGGGGTTCCTTCATCTACACAAACAAAGACTCAAGACATAGCCTCTGAAGCACCTGGATCCTTCATTCATATAGTAACCCAACCATTTGTATAGAGTAAACATTCAGGATTATGTTGCAGCCAATTAAGGGGTTAATAAATTTACTGCAAGAGATATACCGGGCCATTCTTGCAATTTCCCTCCAAATCAACTTCAGATGAGATGAGTGCTTCTTCTAACGAATGATTGCTGCAAAATAGAACAAGTAAACAACGATATACAGAATTTTGGTAAGTATGAATAAATAAATGTAATGTGGTGCACAAGTATAAAGAAATTATACATTGTATGCCAGAGAACTTGGAGAAGAAACATGGACGAATGTAAAGCTCATTGCACAAGTGATATTCTTAGATTGTTAAAATCATAAAAAGCATAGAATTCTTTACATAAGCAGTAGTGTCAACATGAAGAGGATCCTAGGACCATGTATTTGCATCACTCCCAAAGAATGATTGGAATATGAAGCCTTGAAGCTACTCAAGCACTTACCCTCAAGTAATAGGTTCTTTCATCCTATACTCCATGCATTTATAAGATAATACAAATCATCGTTTTCGTATAAGAGAATGACAATGTTGTCCAAAAATAGTGTTTCATCAAAATTAACATCATCTCCCCTTAATTTTCATCAACAGAAAATGCACGACTTAATAAAGCTAAGCAATACCCATGTCTAAGATCAAGCTGGCCACCAAAAAACATCTAAATATTGGCTTCAAAGTAACTTGGCAAAACAAGCTGGACTTACAAAGGACAAGAAAAATGAAAAGAGCTTATGAAATTGAGAGAGACAGTGAGCGATCCTGACATCTGAAACTAAATAAAATTTCACGTTCCAATGCCATGTGAAAATTCTAAAAACAATTGATTTGATATACATATGGTTCCCACGTATGAAAAAGACAATGCAGCAAACCTAAGAAACACAATAAAAGAACAAAGAACAAAAAAACAAAGTTATTTATGGACATTACACAGAAGAAAATCCCATGTGAAAACAAAATAATCTCAAATTGTAGACAGTTTCTGCCCTAATCCACAGCTTCCTTGGTTTTGATGCTCTACTCATCTGATTCTAGTGCGGAGCTGGCTAAGAGGGCTGTAAACACCCTAAATTTGGATGGTAGTTTAGCAGATGCTTTGTAAAGTAAACCCCGGGTTTGCCCTCCCCCGTCACCCAAGCCAAAGTGACAATCCTTCTCCCATAGGATATTAGAACACCAAGACAAACATCAGAACGCATTAATTACAGAAGCACCCTAGAGAAGGGGAAGCCAACTACAGCACCATGAAGACATTTAACCCTATGAGGGACAATGTTAAAGGGAATAACATACAATCTTTTGGCACATCTCAAACATAAGAAAGTCTCAAAGTCTTATACCCAAAAGACCAAAAGGTCAACAGGTCCCCTAAATTGAACATAGCCATACAAGAAGTGTCAAACTAACCTGTACACAACACATAGCTTAGAACATCTAAAACCTGTCTAAGCTATATAAAAGCACTACGGGGCATGTCTTAAAGCGTTGGCATGCTTCTGTTACTTGATTAGCAGAGATTAAGTTCTTCTGGATTATTATTTTTTTTGGTGATAGCTCTCTAACAAACTTGGAGCTTGAGTAAAATTGGGAGTCTTGTTAAAAACGAAACATCCATGTGCAAAGCAGTATGCCTAAGCTTTAGTAAATTGGAAACATGAGGAAGATTTGCATACAGAGAACTGAAGAAGATATACCAAGTATCATCTAAACTATCAGGATCCAACACTTCATCAGAAGATTACAATATTTTCAGTAAATCAAGTATGAAGCGCTTTTGTTCCATAAAATGGCCACCTCATTTAAGTCTAAAAGAAGAGCTAGTTGGTTTCTCAGCAAATAGGTGCGTTATCCAAAACAAATTAATTCAAGAACATGGAAAGTTGCCATCACCATGTGCCTTCTGAGGTAGATGATAGTTTCATTTTAACAATGTTGATGATAAGGCCAAACATGATCCCCCCTAGAAAATAGCAACTCTCCTTCAAACATTGTGCAACCTGTCAAAACAATTTAAATAATTCACTTTTACAGGGCTAAGCTACAAAAGTATCAACAATTATGAATTTATCAAAAAATTGATAGTACAATATTTAAACTCATTACAAGTCATAATGCAAGTACTCTCTGTAGTACCTCTGATAATGAAAATACTCTTTGCAGATGAGGTACTTCCATTAGAGGCCAAATAATCCACCAAACGGAAAGAAACCAGTTGCAAGAAAGATACCACCAACTTTTACAATTCAAAATCAGCATTATGGCCATCTGCAAATCAAAGATAACGACAACATAACATGCTAATAAGTTCAGAGAGGCATGTGATTGTGAAATTGAAGTTGATGAAGGCCACAATAATTTTTGGAGAACTTACCCATGCCACAAACTGAGAACATCTGAAAATCCATTCATGATGTGATGAAGTTTTTCCATGAAAATCTTTGTTTAAAAGGCTACATATATCCCATAATGATATGCATATTTCAAAAGCAGGTACTATGTGCAGCAGTGTTAGGCCTGTTCTCCAAATTGACATCTGTTGCACCTGAAAAAAGAGATACGAATGCCATAAGCAATAAATTTTATTTCTACAACAATAAGAACTACATAGACTTTGGATTACTTATGGTTTATATGAGCATATATCAGAACCCTCATTAAATGCATAAAGGCAATTAGCAGGAAACCATATGCATGAATTATGTTTGGTGCACGAAAAAAAAAGAGGAAATGTGATACTTGAAAAATTCCAAATTGTAGTGATATACGTCTACGAAAGTGCTACTTCCCAATGGTTAGTAACAACGGAAGAAGAGGGAGTAGTAAGGGAGAAAGTACATCATAAACTAATGCTAAGAATAACATTAGGAAATTCAACATATTTAATATGTGTTCCATGGGCTTCTAAATGATGACTAATGAACTGCAAGGCATTCATATTAGTGCTTGGATTGTGCTATATCATGGCTGAACTCATAGCTAGGATATGACCAAAAAACTATTGCTTACCATTCACCAAGTTGAGATCCAAATGCGTGCTTTTATATATGAATGTAGCTTTTAGCCAAATGATCTCCCCAATTAAACAACATCAGTTGTCCTCTGGTTCAATTTGGTTCAGAAAGTTTGCACCAAAGAGCTCTACCACTTGGTTTTGAATAATCACAAATCCATCAGAAATTCAGAATACATAAATGTTGATCCCCTCACATATTTGATAGCATGTTCATAATGATCAAATGCAGCATTCACTAGTAGTAAAAGGAAATAAGCTTAAAATATATGTCTTAGTCCCTTAGTTGATTAACTTTCTACACTTACTAATAGAAACTGTTTGGTTGCTTTGTAGATACAAATCCTCAATGCCTGTTTATACTTTTCCCTAAACTGCTATGTAGAATTTATTCAAAGCATCATAGTTAAATAAAGTTATGTTGATCACCAAGTTTTGAGTTGCCCAGACTTGGGGGTTCGCAATTCAAGTTTTATATTGCGATATAAGACTCAGTTCATTGATATTATATATCTTGTTTTATTGTATATTGATATTACATATCTTGTTTTATTATATATTGAAAAGCTTGTATAATATTTTTTATTAATTATATTTCTAAAAGAATATTGTTACAAATGTAATATGTAAGTATAATAACTGGTGTAATTTGATAAATTGCAATATCTACTTTATATTCCTAGCTTTCTATTAAAAGAATTGCACATGAGAAAATGTCTCTTATCTTATACTTTGCCTCAGCACAAAATTCTTTTACACCACATCTATCTTTCTAGAATTTTTGTTGAGGATTGAGATAAAAAATTCAAGAGCCAATGCAAATGACTTTCTATATATTTCAAGAAATTGTTTGTAATGTAGCACATTGATGAGAAAATGAGTAAAATAGGTTTTCTCCAAGATGGAAATTGTTAATACTGGAATCCGACAATGTTAGAATACATATATAACATGATAAACATCATATATAAATCAACTATTTAAGTAAGACAAGCATGCGGCTAAATTATTTTCACAACAGAAACATGTGCATAATAGCTAATGCATACACAATACTTGACAATCACTTTGTTTGATAATGGATGGTATATTCTAAAAAGCAGGCTAGATGCGTATCATGATAAATTAAGGGGTAAAATTGAAAGAAAAGGAAATGGCACTCACACAAATTCTTGAATTTTCTTGTGTCAATCCCAGAAAAGCAATCAACATTATGGTCCACATATTTGCTCCAAATCCAAATATCGTGATCAATGTCAAGGAAAAAATTTCAAAATTTGTTGGCATTGAAAAAAAAATACAAGAGTTTACAACGAAGAATTATATGTTGTCGCAAAGGATATATGTTCTTGAAGCATTCTGAGTAACCAAGATCATCCCATATCTGTTAAAAAACAGATCTACAATGAGAAATTACCAATGAAAATATGCATAATTAACACACTAATCTAGAAAAGGAACAAGAAAACAAGGTGAAAAATGTGAAAATGAAACATACTCCTTGTGCATACAAACATACAAAGAACCCTATATTCTTATACATAGACACATACATTGATCCATAAATATACGCATACATGCATACATCCGTATACATATACATACATACATATACACACAGGTTGCAGGAGTTGCAGAAAAAGAAAAATATTGCATTCGCGATAAAATGAACCGTTCTCAATAAAAACACATGTGCCCACTGAAAATGAGAAATACCAACAGTACAGAAGAGAGACCTACGATTTTTAACCTCTCCATAATGCATAAGAATTTCTTCATGTGCGTACATCATTTCTATGTACATACTGGAAGTCTGAAAATGAAATGCCCTCATTTATTCATACATAGTCACGTACAAAAGCGAGTGAATTCTTATGGATACACACCCAAAAAAAAAAAACTAATAAAAAACTAATGCTTTAAAGAGCAATATTGAACCATTATCCATGAAAGCATATGTGAACTTCCAAAAATAGCAAAGAATTACAGAGCGAAGAGAAAAGAAACTAAAAACATAGCATTCGAAGCTTACCTCTGGCGACTGCGGACATATGAAATAGAGGAAACCCATCTCTCTCTCTCTCTCTTCCCACTCACTGAAGTTAAGAGCGCGCAAAAGCGGGAACCACTCTTCCCCGTATGAAAGTAACTGACACTGTTGAACAATTGAATTTGAGGTATTTTGTATATGGAGAAGATGACTAGAATACCCCATTCTTTTATCAAAATAACCATGTCACTGTTATCTTTATAAGAATGACAAAACGCTCCTATATATTTTAATGGAATGTCTCCAAAGATCTTTTGGAGATCATAATCAGTCCCACCCCATCAGATGCCAAATTAGATAGCTTTTCAAAAAAAAAATTTATTTTTTTTAGATATTTGTGTTTCTTTAATGACATTCTTACAACCATCCACTTTGAAATAGATTCGGTTTCATATGGCCGGCCAAGCCCGCATATATAGAAATGCGGGTTTATTAATAAATTTTTTTTTAAAATGGATTTTGGACTTAATTTTTAAAGATATGTAATCTCTAACATAGATATCACGAATATGAAAAAATAAATAAATGTTAAAAACTAGAAATAATAATTCTACTAAGAAAACATTTGGACCATTAGTTTCTATTGTTTTTAGATGGAACACCCATTTGCATCCATCTTTAAGATGGATGCTTTACACTTTTTGGACCGCATAGTAGTCATGCCGCCAAGCTCGCATGAAACAATTTTCTTTTTGAAATTTAATATATAAGAATGATTGTAACTTTGTATCAAAGGTAAATGGCCTCGTTGTATGTAATCCCTGCATAAAAAGCGTTATATAAAAAGCTCCACCTTGCCGCCCAAAAAATCTACAATCAAATAACCTTAATTTCTTCACTAAATCCAACAAGGTTTAGGTGTGCTCTAAGAGGTACTTACCGCAAGTCAAAACTTCAGGAACCCATACTGTATATGGATCGTTCATTATAATTCTCCAAGTACCGTTATATTTACAACAGTTATCAAGATCTGACTGGGTTGGTAGTCCGTTATCAGATTTTTTATCCTATCTTGAGAGTAAAAATTGGATTTGATAAAAAATAATCAAAACTAATGTTGGATCGCTTAGGCCAGTTTAATCGGCTAGTCAAAGAAAGTGGACAACTTTTCTAATAATATATTATGAGTAATGATCTTATGAGACCCTCCCACACCCATGTGTATAGAACCTCAAAAGATCACCATTAAATATGATACAGATCTCTAGAAAAATTATCACATTGGTGTGAGACTTAACTTTTATAGAGATCTGTGCTACATTTAATAGTTATCCTTTAAGGTCCTACACACATGGGTGTGGGAGGGTCTCATAGGATCATTACTCATATATTATATATTTTTAAAGAGAAATGATCCTATAGGATCTTTTTCCACCCATGTTTGTAAGACCCTAAAGGATCACCATTAAATTTGGCACAGATTTATAGACAAGTCACGTCCCGCATCTATGTAATAACTTTTCTAGAGATCCATGCTAACTTTAATGGTGATCATCTGGGGTCCTACATACATAGGTGGGGGAGGGTCCTATATGATCATTACTCATTTTTAAATAACTAATTATATTATTTTTTAATATTTTAAAATATAGTCAATTTAGTTCAAGTGACACTTAAATTAATTTTAACTAGATGAGACCCCTCATCGATACAATTGCCAGTCAAATCATGATAACTTTGATATTTATTTTATTCTTAAGGTTCGATCTAAGTCGAAAATGGATTTTCTTGGACTTCTTATATGGTTTGAGTCCCAAACCCCTCAAAATAAGAGCAGACACATGGGTGGGTGAGCTCACCGAGTAATTTTCCATACTATGTATACGTAGAACCTCTGACTTGGAAAAAAAAAAGAAAAGGGGACCAAATTCATGTGAACCCATAAAGGGCGTTGAGAATGTCGCGACAAGAAATGGTTTGGCTATTTGACAAGGGAAAAGTTTTTATAGAGCCTAAGATCTAAACAATCAAATTAGAACCTACCTCAGAACTTTCATGAAGAGGTTGTTTTGATTCCCAAATATCATCAAATTGATCATCTCAATATCAAGATGCATAAACATGAGAAAAAAAAATGGATTTCAAGTTTTGGAAATATTGTATCCTGTAACGTATTTTTTGACCGTCAATTGTCAAGATTTTCAAGTTTTCATATATCTGCTCGATCGACACTATTTTTGAAGCTTTAAATTTTATAAATAAATACAAAAATATAATTTAAGGCTATCACAAAACTTTTCAATATTTTTGGAAATATTGCATCCTATAACACATTTTTGACCGTCAATAGTCAAGATTTTCAAGTTTTCATATATCTGCTCGATCGACATTACTTTTGAAACTTTAAATTTTATAAATGACGATGAAAATATAATTTAAGGCTATCACAAAACTTTTCAATATTAAATTCATATTTGTCGTCGACACTATTAAGAGGTGGGCTCAAATTTGATTGTTTAGAGCCTCGGCTCTATACAAACCGCACCCGATTTGAAAACAGAAAAGTTTATGTTGAAAAGACTTGGGATACGATTGTCAATATGGGAAAGAAACGGATGTTTTCCGTCATAGGCCGAGTTTTCACTTTGTGGCCTCTGCTACTAGATTCGCACGCGTGTCGTTAATTTGTCGCAATCGATCTTTAAAGTGACATAGTGGTGGTGCTATCCACGTTGGATCTGCGAAATGCCCATTTCCCACTACACTCACACTCGCCTTTTTTTTTATGGGGAAAGTGTTTGGTGCGTCCAAGCCCGCAATTGTTACTATGCGGGCTTGGAGATCTACACCACCTACCAAAACTAGGTCCCATAAATAATAATCCTCTAAAAAAAATAAAATAAAATCAACACTTCAAATATTTTTTTCAAAAAATGCTATTTTTAGTTTTTAAATTTTATCATATATTTCTTAAAAATTAGGACCAAATTCTATTTCAAAAATAAATTATTAAAGAGCATACATGCGAGTCCGAGTCCGTGGACTCCTAGAAACCGTGTCCATTGCGTATTCAGCAACATTTGCACTTCACTTTCACTTTCAATGACTACTGTGACTCAAAAAACAATAAAGAAGTCAAATTGACCGGCCAACGTCCTAGCGCGAGTGGGGTCGGGATCTGGGTCGCGGTCAACCACATGAAACTCTATTATGACTCATTCTTCGTTCTATTGTATTTTGAGTGAGTTTTTATTCTATTGTATTTTGAATGAATCTTCATTACGTTGTAACAATTTTTTCCTTTTTACTAGGATCGACTAACTCGACCATTGACTCTTATGTGAATCTATATATACTCTACGTGTATTTGTTCATGGGGTATGAATGAATAGTTAAAAGCTTCAACAAGATTTCACATGGTATTAGAGCGAGGTTTCATAGTTTCTCTCTTTGATTAAGAAAGAGACCAAACGATCTTCCGACGACACGACCTGCTTTTCCGGCAGGTTGTAAAAGCTGGGGGCCTTCAGATCTTCAATTTTTCGATCACCTCTGCAATTTTTTTCAAGCGAGATCAAGCACGAGAGCCATGACTGCGAATGACCCTCAGCAGAGGTAGAGCGTGTGTAAGAGCGGGCCCCATAGAGAGAGAGCCTAAAACACGAAGCCTCCCAAAAAGGGTATTTTTGCAACAAGGAAAAGAGATAGTCCATAGGGACCATATTATATCAAAATCATGTCGGTGGAAAGTTTAGTCCATAGGGACCATATTATATCAAAATCACATCGATGGAAAGTTAATACAAAACCAGTTCTAAAGGAAGCCATGAAGATACGATCTCCTCTTCCTCTCCTTTCTATCTTCATCACTCGGATAATCCAAAGATGACGTTGGTTTCCCAACAACTCATTGGAGAAAACTATCTTCTGTGGAAAGGGGTTATGCTTGAAGCCCTCAAGGCTAAACACAAACTCAGTTAGTATCGTAATAATCTCGACCCAGGCTTTCATTCCCATTGAAACATTAAAAAACCATTGGCTATTTCTACAACAAGTAGGGGCCTGTAATACCCATTGATCTACTTGAAAAAATAATTTTCCTTGGAAAATGAAAAGTTATGTTTCTCTAAGTTGCACCTCATGCCTCAAATTAATAGAAAAAAATAAACAAAACAAAACTAACATGTTGTTCTCTTTGCTCTTTTTCTTAGATCTTAACATTTAGAATTTTCAAGGGCTCCATTCTCAACCCATTGTACCAAGTGAAAAAGATATTACATATGATAAGACGGGTTAGCTGCTGGATGTAAAATTTGGCAACTAGGGATATGGTTAATGACACACCCCCACACATACAAATTTATAACGGTTATTGGGCCTTAAAAATACCATTGCACAACCTTTTAGCCATGACCATGTCAAAAAAATCGGAAGGCTGATTCCCTACATGAAAGATCCCATCAAACCATGATAAATATTATAATGTTAATACCTTAGACTAATATATATATATATATATATATTCCCTTAGCTAAGGCAAGTTCCTAAATAGTATTTGATCCTATAGATGTACTT